TGCAGTAACACAGTCTGTTCCAACACTACCTTTGTACAGACAGAATCTGTTGCTGTCAAAGTGAGGACACCTGTAGGAACTGTTTGCATCAGTTTTCAAGGCTTCATTTACTTCTACTGCTGGAGAGAAGTTCACCTGTTACTAATCCCTGAGAAAGGCCTGGTTTATATAGCATCTACACACAGTTTTGGTTTTACCTCTGGCAGTTTACTGCTCAGCGCTGTACTATTAAATGTTTTCCACTGGACTTGAACTACTCACATGTCTCAAGTGGGTTTAATAAGAATGTGATGCTCTTCATCCAAACTTCTACTGAGTCTCATTTCATAAGGGACCATGTGCTCAGCTTTAAAATATCACCTCAGGTTCAAACAAATGTGTCTCAGATACAAGTTGTGTTACATGTTCTGTAACTCTTTGGCAGCTGTGCATGTATCGAGGGACAACAAAAAAAAAGAAGAACTTGCCTCTGTTCCTGCATCGCGGCCTGAAAACCAGAGGCGCAGAGGAGAGAGTGTGATGTTATTTATTGGACTGTAACCATGGAGCTGTTGCTGAGGAACAAACCATTGCTAACAAAAGGGTGGATTCATCCATTCATCCAGGGGAGGGCAGGAGGAGGAGGAGAGGCATCCCTAAACTCTACAGCAGTCAGAGAGGAGATCCGAACTGCAGGGTCTCCCAACTGTGAGCGACTATGAGCTGACACAGTTGTTGTTGATGAAACTTTACACACTCCTCCTCCTCTTCCTCCTCCTTCTTGTTCATTGGAGCGTTGTCCGGACAAGCAGGCAGGCAGGCAGTCACATGAAGCCAACACCTGTTGGCAGTGTGGGGGATGACAAGCACATGCTGCTCTGCCTCACTGTGTCCCAGCCAGCTTTGACAGCAGTCCTCCATGTCCTTTTCATCCATGTTTCTGTTTTCCAGTAGCACAAAAGGTGGCACAACAGTTTAAAACCTGAAAACAGATGCAGTTCAGACATATGCTCAGAGCTGCAGCAGCAGAGGAGGGAAGATGGTGGAGTGGGGGAGCACAGAGGGAGGAGGGAGGAGGGGGTGAAAAACCGGTTTCCAATAGTGACGGATGATTTGTAGGTAACAGTTGTTTGCCTTGCAGCCTGAGGCCTGCCTCACTCAGCCAGAGAGTTTGGAGCATGTAGTGTGCTGAGTGCAGCAGAGGCTGTCGAATGGCGGTTAGTGTTACCACACTTCTGAGTGGTAAAGTACAGTTTAAGAAGAACTCTGTGGCTGCTGTTAGAATACGGGTGTCTTCTGTCTTCTGCACACTGGAGACAACATAACAGAAGAGGAGCCGGAAGAGATGCTTTGTCTGCATTTGTTACAGTTTATATCTGCACATTCAGGACATAATGCTGGTGTAGGAGCAACACACATCAGTCTACAGCCACTAGCAGCTCTGTGCATGCTAATGTTAGCATCCTAACATGCCCACAGTAATAATGCTACCACGCTGATGTTTAGCAGGTGTAATGGCTTCCATCTTGACCATCTTAATTTAGCATGTTAGCACCAAACACAAAGTACAGCTGAAGTTGTTGTTAAGTAGTTTTGTGTGTTTGGTCATAAACAAACTACTGGGCAAATGAAAACAGTTGAAGGAGTAATGAGATCCTTTACTTAAGTACAAGTAGAAATAGCACAGAGTAAAAATACTCTGTTACAAGTAAAAGTCCTGTGCTTAAAATGTGACTTAAGTAAAGGACAAAAGTATCAGTATCAAAGTATACTAGAAGTACCAACAGTACCAGTACTCATCCTGCAGAATGGCCCATGTGACAGTAATGTCTCTGATACTACTGGATCTGGTTGAGGGACTCTGTCCAAATCTAGCTTTAAGGCCTTTGCTGAGTTAATTTGTACTGTGGTTGTTTTGAAGGACAAATAAGTATACTGGATCAGTATGTTACTTAATAACTGATTAATTGTCGTGCTCATTAAATGTCAGGGATTAGCAAGAGAACCTGGTCACGGACAAGATGGTGGACTGCAGAGCCCGGCAGGAAGCCGGCAATATTAGTTGGATGTTGTTAACCTCAGCAGGATTGGGCGTAGGGTTGAGGTTACACTAACCCAACCACCAGAAAAAAATGTACCCCCTCTGGCCAAGGGTGCGAGCTTGCACATTTTGGTCACAGTCCTCCATCTTGTCTGCAGCCAGGGCCCTGTTGTGTTTAGGACCAGCTACAGTGCTGGATTTTCCTTCACAGTGCTGCTTGGGACGTGGTTTCAGGGTTAAGGCCAGAATCAGAGTCAAAGTGTTAGGGAAGTAATATGCTGTATATGATTCTCACGAGGAAACAAGGTGTGTGTGAATCTGTCTGCAGCAGGTGAAGCAGTGCAGCATTACATGTCCAAACACCCGATGGGGATGTGTCTGGTGAAAACGCTCTGTTAGTGAGTCAGTGTTACACGACGTGCTGCCGGTGCGTGTGCCTACATGGAGCTGATGTGGTATCTGGACAGACCTGTTCTGTGATGCTGATACACTAGATACAGTTGCCATGACGATGACTCACCTGTTGCTGCCAGGTGTGGGGGATGGGAGTGTTCATTTGCACACAGGTACACATTTGTCATATCAATTTTTTAGATACGGGTGACCTCTGACCCCTGGTCTCCTGGTCACTCCTGGGTCTCTTTCTATGTTTAAAACATGTTTATTTCACTTAAAATACTTCAGAACATTTAATATTTTCACATTGTGAATGAAAATTGCACAAGTGTTTCTAGCTCACCAAATTCAAAAACGGGTACTGTGGGACAACCAATATCTGTGCCATATTTCTATCCTTCTTATCACTGGTTGTTGTCTGTATTGATTTGTTCTTGTAAATAATTAAACCTGGTGTGCACAACAGTTTTTTTCAGTCACACTAGCAGTGTTGCTTAAAGGATGGAATTCCAGTAAAGGGCTGTGCTGGTCCATAAAAGACTTTCTCATTCATTCACTCTCATGTGTCCTGGCTCCTCCAGCAGCCCCCTCGGTCCTCGGTCCATCTTGGGACACAATGCTGAGGTGTAAAAAAGCCAGAAGTATGAAATATTAACAGGCGTGTACAGCCATGCTAATGTTAGCATGCTAACATGCTCACAATGACAATATTAAGACAGGTAGCAAGTATAATGGTTACAATGTTCACTGCTTTAGTTTAGCGAGTTAGCATGCTAACATTTGTCATTCATTTTGCAGGTGTTTGGCCATAAACCAAGTGCTGTAGCGTTAACTGGATCAGTGAAGTCGTTATACTGAGGAGAGTGTGATTATCTGCTGCTGGTTTCATGACAATCCATCAAGCTGTTGACATATTCAATGTGGACCAAATGACAACGCTCACATCTTGGTAGAATATTTACCCATAAACTGCATATAAAGAAAACCTTCTGCCACTATGCAAAGTGAAGCCAAAATATCATCGATACAGGGGCAGCCACCTTGATATGTGACACATATCACACCACAGGGGTGCTGCAGTACACCTACGAACGTCCCAGAAGAACGGCCACTAGTACACACCACAGTGTGGGAATATCTACCAAACACAACGGCCATCACCTCTGGGAAACCTTTGATTTGAACTTAGAATTTTTAGTTTGGTTCATGTCCCATCCACTAACATGAAGGGGGCGGGGGTTATGACTTATACTGCAACCAGCCCCCAGGGGGAGATCAACTTGTGGTGGCTTCACTTCTGTCGTCCATCTTTATATTTGGTGTATGGGGTAAATCAATAGTCTTTGGATCAGATCAAATCCTGTCAACAGCCACTGACCAGTCAACTCACTGAAAGCATGGAGGCATCATTCCTACAGGGAAAAAAGGGTTTACAGAGAAATGATGAATGGTAACGATTAACACAGATTTTCATAAATCAGTTGAATAATTTAGCTCTTTCCCGCTTTTTCATGGATCAGCCTGGTTTGAAAGCAGAGCTTCAAACAGACAAAGGGAAAGTTCAATAGACTACATCATGATGATTGCAGCTGCAAAATTGTAAAAAGATTCCCGACAGTGTCCCAGAACAACATGAGGAGACTCAGAGATGATAATGTGAATAAAAACCAAAACCCTCTGATGTGTTTTATGAGAAAATGACCCACCTTTCTGTTGTCACCACCTGATGTACCTGCATGTATTTGTAGCGGTCAGACAGGAGAGTTAATGCAGGACAGTCAATGGACACTCCAAGAGACCTTTACAGACATCCCTGAAATGAATGAATCACAATAAATAGTGTTATTCTTCAGTTATGAGCTGTACATTCATGTGCTTAAGTATCAGAAGTAGAAGAACAGGTTTTATTTATTTAATTTATTTGTTTTTATTGTTGACACATTGTTAGATTCTTTTGTAATTTAATTTTCTAAATTAAACAAATTAATTAAACAAAATTTTTGTGTTTTATATTTCTTAAGGAAAGTAAGTGAAAATGTCACTGAGGTCAAAAACAGAGCTGTGACAGTAAAGATAAAACACTACAGAAAGCATTAACAGGAGAAAACAGTTACACAGTAGATAAAGCAGAGCTACTGACCAGTTAAGAATTTTAACATGATGAAAAATTATGTAAAAATGATGCTAATAACTTTTCTGAAGTCAACATTGATCAAAAGTTGAGATATTCCCAGGACAAACTCTTTAAGATGAGTGACAGGCAATAGAGTAAACTAAGCTGCAGGCCATAGGAAAAGACTGCTGCCTCCCTCTAGTGGTGCCACTGCTGCCCTGCACCTGGAAGCCCAGTAGCTGCACAAGCGGTACCCAGGTCAGAGTCCGCTTCATGTTCCCTTCACTTCATGTTCTGTAAACATAAAGTGCCACTACAAAAAGTTCACTTGGTGATAATAGTAAAACTCTTCAGAGTTTCTAGGTTTGTTGTCATCAATGATTCAAATGAACCTGAGAATAATGGCCAGTGACACCCTCAGTGCTTTGGAATATGCTTTTATTGTTAGTAGACAGTAAGTTCAGCATTAATACAGTTTAAAGGCACAAAGCTAAAAAAAAAAAGACACAATCACATTAGTTTTCATCTGATAAAAGTCTGGAATTACAATGATAGTCCTCATTAAACAGATTTTATATCCAGGCTGTGAAGAGGCTGTGAGGGTTGTGTCGTCATGATCTGTCACCAAACCGAATCTGACTGCACTGAAGCTGGCAGCTCCCGTGACTCCTTGGTGTTTATCAATTTAAACTGATTGATTAGTGTCAGAGCAGAGATCTGATGGAGAGATGCTGACCCACCTGAGTCTGAAGTCTCAGTTTAGTCTCCGATGATGTTACATCTCAGTTTGTCTTAAGTCAGTAGACATTCTGTCATTTTCTGATCAAAGGTGAAATATGAGAAAGATGCACTCTGGGGGAAATTGTGTGTTGTACTGAACTCAGACCAGTGTATCGATCAAATTTACCTAGTTGAGCATGTTTAAAATCTATCTAATGGCTTCTAATAACTTGACAAGCTCTTTCCTCTCCTGTATAGTCAAGACACTTTCATGTACTTTAAGGATACTGTGACCTTCGACCCTTGGGCCTCTTCACAAAACCTGCCTTAAAAAGTTACACAAACCTTCATATCTGTGCAGCAAATGATTAAGACTCTGCATTTGCTATATTTGTGTAAAGTGAAATGAAACAAGAAAAAAAAAAATCACCATAGAAGTAAACTAAGCGGCTTGTTGGCTCCGCCCACTCAGCCTGACGCTGTGCCGATTGGTGGATACATAATGAAAAAGCCGAGGGGAGGGGTCACAGCTCTGTGAACCAATCATCCTGTGATGTCAACTTCAACAGCTCCAGTCACCTGAAAAACAGGACAAGGCATCAGTTAATGTGCTAATTCCAGTTCGGCTCATAGGTTAAAGTTGTCCCTAGGGCTGCTCTCAAATCAGGATGTTCAGACTCAGGTCATCAGCAGACTCAGCCTGTTAGCACACACACTGGCATGCTAACTCCGTACACTTCTGTCTTACTGACTGTTTTGTTGTTAGTAGAGAAGGCGAAGGTAAATCATGTTAAGACACGGGCGCCATTTTGGGAGGGGGTACTGTTTTACCTGCATACCTTCTTATTTTGTTTGGCTAAAAAGTTGTTTAAATCATTTAGATCTCACTTTCCTAACCGTGATTCACAATGGATAACCTTAGCTGACTAACTTACTTGTAGTGGACCTAGAGATCCCACCGAGGAGAGCGACAGACTGAAAAATGACTCTGCACCTTGATTTCAGCTTTTGGTTTGGGAGATATTGCTAGTGAGATCTGTCTGCAGCTAACACAAACACTGTCCTATCTGCTCAAACTGAACACTACAGCGGACGTTTGGATGTTTTTGAAGCATCCGCTACCTGTATGGAATAGTATATTGTTTTGTTAACTACTAGATGTATGTAGTGTATATTTCTATGAGGGCTAATGAGCGTGATGCTCCCAACAAGAGAAGAAGAAGAAGCTTTATTTTATTGTCATTGTACATTGTCACGTACAACAAAATTTTGTTTGGAGCCAAGGCGCTGCGTGCATACACGTCGCCATCACGGGCAACTTTGGGGGTTCAGTGTCCTGCCCAAGGACACTTCAACTTGTGGACTGCAGGCACCGAGATTTGAAACTCCAGCCCTCCAGTTAGGAGATGACTGCTCTAGCCAACGCACCACTGTCGCCCCCCAAGCCGTGTTTACCCAGAATTCAACATGTCGTGACGACAACTTCACATTCTTGGTATTCAGGTGCAGCAGCTGTGAGGAAAATGCTGAATTTAGCTTATTCTAGTAACATCTACAATTAACACATTAATCAAATCAAATTTTATTTGTATAGTGCCAAATCACAACAAAAGTCATCTCAGGACACTTTACAAAGTAAGGTCTAGACCTTACTGTTATCAATATTATTACATAGGGAAAACCCAACAAATCCCCCTTGAGCAAGCACTTGGCGACAGTGGGGAGGAAAAACTCCCTTTAACGGAAGAAACCTCCGACAGACCCCGGCTCTTGGTGGGTGGCCTTCTGCCTCGACCAGTTGAATATGCTTTTTAGTTATTTTCATGATATTGTGTGATAATGTTTAGCATGCAGCATTTTGCATGTTTGCTAACATTCAAAAAATGACCAAAATGTATATTAAAAAAAAGTCAAATTTATGTGTAAGATGAGTTGAAAATGCCCAAACTGTCTGTGTGCCATAACTCTTAATAGTACAGAAGTTGTTTCTGGTGCAGAAGTAGGCTACAGTAGTCAACTACACACCATCTGACTGGCTACCAGCACTTCCTGCCTCTCCCCTCAGTGAAAGCAGACTGAGCAGATGAACTGGTCCTGTAACAGTAACATGCTGAGCTGTGGAGGTTACCTGACGGAGGTTCGAACAGTCCAGCACCGCCATGAGGTATCGGGCACCAGCCAGCCGAGGAATGAACGACTCCATCTTGGAGATTGAAGCCCGAGGAGCAATGGCACTGAAACAGATACAGAAAGAGTTAACCGTACATGTCGGAGTCAGTACAGTACAGGCGTGTTTGTGTGTGCACAGCACCTGTAGTAATATTCCACAGGGTACAGGAGTCCGGGTCCCTCTATGTGCAGTCTGGCGTCTTCCAGATAGAAGGGGAAGGGGTTGGTGAAGGAAACAGTCAGGAACATATTGCGCCCTACTTGAGGCTTGCCGCTCACCTGGAAGTCAAATCTTTAGTCATTTTTATTTAAAAATGTGCATTCTTACACAAATGTCACCATTTGACAGTACTACGAAGTACATTTCAATGTTTCAGATATCCAGTATTTCCTGTGAGTGTCAGTGTACTTTATGTACTCTGTGTTAGCTGTAATAAATGGAATATCCACAAAGTCATAAAAGGTACTATCAAAACTGACGTGTACTTTACCTTCACAGTGAGTGCTGGGGTCTGCAGCTCCACCACCTTCATGGCGTTCACTAACTGGCCACTGTATTCTCCAGTCACCGTAAACTGGATGCTGAGCTGTGAGCCCAGCTGAGGCATGTACTCCACCGCCGTTATCCTAAACTTCACACTCTCCGCTGCAACACACACACAAACAGGTCTGTGGTTATCCCTCGTGGGAACTTCACACTGACCCGTTCTCATTTCCTGGACACTCACCTGAACCTGTACAGAAGACAATCAGGGCCACTTTGAAAACTGTACTTGGGTTCTGACTTTTTTCTCAGAACCCAGATACAGTTTTCAAAGTGGCCCTGATCATCTTCTGTAAACCTTAAACCAAGTCATCACTCAGTGATTTACATGGTTGTCGAACTGTTTATCTATAAAACTACTAACTGATGTTGCTCACTGCTTCCAGCTGCCACGGTGACAACAAAATCCTGATCTGAAAAGTCACTGGCCGGGGCTCCGGTGTAGAAGACGACTGAAACCCCCAGGTGAGCATTGACAGTTGCGGGGTTGTCGCCCTGGTTGGTGAAAACCACCACCACGTTCAAGTCCTGTCCCAGTGTGACCTGGAGAAAGGGACAGAGAAAAGGCAGAGCTGACAGGCCTGGCAGAGAAACACCATGCCACTGTTCTGGGTCAGAATGGATTAATAATACACAAAGAGAAGACACCGACATACAAGTAGGAGTGGGCATCCATTTAAGATGGACGGCATCATTTCAGAAAGATTCATCGTTCAAGTCTGTGTTAAAAACATATTTTTATCAGGTTGCTTTCCTTATTAGTTCTAAATGTTTTAAGAATATCTTATTTTAATTATTCTTTTCATCAATTTATTGTGTGCTTCATTTGTTGTACAATACTTTGTACTTTGTTTGAGAAGTGGTCTATAAATAAAGCTTATTATTGTCATATATACAATATATGAATCCAGGTTTCTGATGTACATAAACAACTGGCTGTTATTCGAGTATGCTTCACTAGTCACCCACCACTTTCTCCCAACATTTTACCACACGGGGTGGAAAAGCTGCTTTCAAACAGTTCTAATTAACTTAATACTGGCGCTCCAAACATCTGTGCTGTCAGTATAAACGTGTTTGTCTAGTGCATCGATTATAGTAGAAAGATGACTGTGTGGATGCGTAGAAACACACGGATTCACACACGGTACAGATACATGGACAGATGGAGGATGGATACGCAGACAGATGAGTTACTTGTTCAGCGGTGATGGCGACGGTCACCGAGGCCTGAGGCAGCTCAGAGTGGTCCCTCTCACAGCCGTACTGCTCGGCCCGGGCCATGCTCCTCTCGTCCTCCACAGAACCTGCACACAGACATCACCTCAGTAGAGATGGAGCTCTACCCATCTCTGCTTCAGGCTGGAGCTGGACTAAGACCTTTTTCTTTATCAGCTTGTGTGTGTGTTACCATCAGGGTACTTGTAGGTGTGTGTGATGTCCTCAGGGGCCGTGCTGCCTATAGCCTTGGTGTAAATAGCCTTTCCGACGTAATCCTTATACACAGCGAACGGAGTCAGAGTCCCGTAGCGATCCCGCTTCATGCAGACCACCTCACTTTGTACCTGGAGGGAAGAGAAAGCCATCATCGCTCCAGCTCATCACGCTGAAGCTAAAAACTTTCATTTTCATAAAGAAGAGAAAATGTCAAGTGAAAATTATTTAGTCACTTATTTTGATTCAGGCTAAGATGATAAAATGTCAGAAAACAGTGAACAATACCAATCAAAAAAAGTGCAAATGTATCAATATGAAATACATTTTTCAGATAAATGAAACAAAGAAAAGAGGCACATGCTCAGATCTGAGATAGCAGAAACAAGCTATCTGCCGTTTTTGATGGGTAACGGTTTACAGGATCAACCTGATGCTGACAAGTTTTAGATGATGCACTAATCAGCTAGTTGTTTCAGAACATTACAGTACATAGGATTTTCTCACCTGCTCTCACATATGTACTCTGCTCTTAGAAAATACTGAAACTCACCTCAGCAAAGACAAATCTTAAGTCAAACGGGTGGCACAGCAGGCCTTCCTTGACGGCAGCTACTGAAGCTGGACCACAGCGATAAAATCCTGCGAATCAAACACAGAGACATGCTTATCGTTCATCTGTCTGTGCACAGCATCAATCTCTCCACCTGTCTTATCTGTCCTACCATCACTGGTCTCCTGGGGAGTGGCGTCCACCACCTGCCATCCGCCGAAGTTGGGCGGCAGGTCAGCACGGGTCATGAACGCTTCGTTCCAGCAGTGGAAGTTCCTACACAGAGAGACTCCTGTTATTATACCATGGCTTTTATTTTTTTAACACTAGTCTACAGAAAAAAGAAGAGAGTTTGAAGTTTGTATTTCATGAATTACAGAGTTCTTAGGTTGGGGATGACCCTGAGTTGTACATTGTATGTTAGCCAACACACGGGCGCCGTTAGGGGGGGGAAGTTAGGACGATTCTAAGGGCCCACAAACTTTGGGGGCCCACAGAGACTAGCTTTGGGTGAGATAGAGGGTCCAACTTCAAATTTTTTCATAGGGCCCAAAACTGCTAGCGGCGCCCCTGAGCCAGCATTTTAGCCTTTGATTACATTTTGTAAAATTGGCACCGCTAAAAGGGGCCAAACTAGCTATTAGCTCCTGTTTGCAGTCACTGGGCTGCATGGTAGTAAAGAAAACTTTAAAGTGTGATCATTCTCATGCACATTTCGAAGCTAAAGGGATAGATTTTGTAGAATCCAGCCTTGTGAAGTGTTTCTGATTTGAATCACTACTTAGTACAATCCAGGCAGGGTGAAGAAAACTGGAAAGGCCTGGTGTGAGGCTGGACTTTCAGGTGTGTGGACCAACCAGATGGAGTCCCTGGTGTTGCGTCTATCCAGCGAGCCATCACTTTCAAAGATCATGTAGGTCTTCAGGTTTCCCGAGTTGTCGTGAGCTGAAAGAAAGTTGGTGATGACTCTCGCCGGGATGCCGAGGCAGCGGAGGACTGAAGAGATAATTGAATATAGGTTCCATTGTTACCTCAGGTATAATTTTTCAGTTCTCCAAAAAGCACACTCATTGCTGCACTTCCTTTAAATCTAATATAAGAAAATAGGATAAAACATTTAATGCTGTTTAATACGTCTACTTCAGTACAGGGAAACATGTTTTACTCCACTACTTTTATTTAACACTTGTAGTTACTTTTCAAATTACGATTTTACACAATAACATGAGCTGTCCTGTGCCTGTTCATCAGTCCATCCAGGACTGTTATGGAACCAGCATCTTTACAGTGAGTCAGAGTGACAGCATGTGCACTCACAGGTGTTGAAGACTCCGGCGTACACCCAGCACTGGGCAAAACACACAGGGACTCCAGTGCTGAGGTACTGCAGCAGGATGCTGACACTGCCTGTCCACGATGTGGGTGCCTTGCCCATGGAGAAGTCATCGCTCCAGTTCCCAACTAACACCCCGTTGTCATCCTGAGAGTTAATCTGAGGGAAGAGGGAGACTGAAATGTTCATTACACACCAAAAAAATGACAACATCTCGGCTACTCTTCAATGTATCTATAGCACAGTAGCATGCCACTGTTTAGCCCTGTTAGTGCAACATTAGAGAATTCGGCGCATTAACATGGCTCATGTATGACTGAGGCTAACTGGAATTTAGAGACATCTTCTCAAAATTTGAATACATTCTGACCTGCTGGTGGCATTAGATGAAGAATCAGGGATCCAGTCCAAAGACATGCAGCTTAGGTTGACTGGCGACTCTAAATCGCCCATAGGAGTGAGTGTGAGTGTGTGGTTGTTTGATTACATGTCAGCCCTGTGACAAACTGGTGACCTGTCCAGGGTGGACCCCGCCTCTCGCCCAGTGTGAGCTGGGATTGGGGTCCTTTTCAGGATAAGCAGTACAGATAATGGATGGGTGGTGCATTTAGTGAGGAAGTGACATGACCGACTGAATGTCTTGTTTAGAGATGGAAGAGAATAACAGTTCCTCTGCCTTCTAGAACGCACTGCCAAAGAGAAGAGAAATGCAGCTTGTACCACGGTTCCTTCTGTAACCATCTGTTCATGTCTGGTTAAAGCTGTGAGGAGCATTAATGTAAAATTGGCCAGTGTATTAATGTCTTCACTGTGTGGCCAGGTCTGTCTGGAAAGGTTTCTGGCAGTGTTGAAATACTTCCAAACATTAGGTGAACCTTCTGTGTTGCTCTCACCATGGCGGATCCCTGCCTGACCACTTTGATGATGTCACCTCGTTTGCTGATCGGCATCCGGGACATATCCAGGATGTAAATACAGGCGTCCAAAATACTGCGCTCAAACTGCAGGGAGAGAGAACATTCACGTTAACTTCTCTCTATGGTGTGTGTCTGTGTGTGAGTATTTGTGTGTACCTGTCCATACGCCCAGGTGCGTTGTGTCACTTTGTCAACAGAACCCTGAAAGATCACACCGCTGTCATTTAGGACGTACTCCCTCCGTTGGTCTTCATCAGGAAGAAACACGGCGTCTTCTGCACAGAGCCGGGCAAAAAGACACAGCACCACTGGTCAGAAACTACTTCAGCTGAAGCACTCGTCTCCTTTGTAAAGGTGAAGGCCTGCTTTCAAAAGCAGATGTCTTCTATCATTCTCAAATAATGAAACTAGAGGACAAGAACATTTTTGTCACAGACCTAAAATTAAATATCCAGACACTGCATCTTTTGGACCATCTCAGGGGTTCTGGAAACATACACTGTCTATGTCAGTGGAAAAATGTGCAGACCAATTTTCATGGTAAAAACGAGACCAAAACGAAACTAAGTTCCATTTGATAACAGCAACTATGACCAAAAAGTGAGTTAAATAACCAGGGGGACTATCATGCTAATCCCCTGTGAGCGAGACCTGAGGCCAGCTCTGGCCGTCTCACTAGCTTTACTTCAGCAGATCTCGCTTGCTTTAGCTGCCTGGTGGGTTTTATGGTTCAAGACACAGAGATTCAAGATTCTTTCATGAAGCTGCACATTCATAAGCTATACAAAGATATACTTTAACATTGTGGTAGTTATTCCCACAGAAATACATGTGATATTTTACATTAATCAAACCTGGTAAATACAGTGAAAAAATTAAACACTCCACCTAAAACACTCCATTTCTCTGACAGGACAGACTAGCAGTGCTTCTCTGAGCAACTAGGAGGCAGTAGAGGGACAGTAGCAGCATTCCTACCTGGACACCAGGCATTGAAGAGCAAGTACAGGTCAGTCGTGGGGTCCCTCTTGGTTCGCTGCATGCCGGTGCCTGACAGGATGGCCACATAGATACGAAACTTCCCCACGATGGCGTTGGCCGTTGGCGTGATGCCCAGAACCAACATCTGACCCTGGGTCTGCAGAATCCTGCCTGACCACGGACCTCCAGTACGGGAATTGAATGTCACCACCACCAGGGTGTCAGTAGTGGGTGAAGGGTCAGAGCCTGGGGGCGGGGGAGGGCGAGGATTAATAATGGAGAGGAGACAAAGAGAGAGGAAATGAGGAGACAAGGAGAGAGGAAAGAAGACAAAGAGGAAAGGAGGAGTCAAGGAGAGAGGGTTCCTGAGGGTTACTGGATCCCATGCTTGAGAAAATAAAATGCTGAAGTGTTAGTAAAACAACAACAGTAATTAAACAAAATAAAAGTCCTGCTAACCGTAATTGATTTATTTGAGATTATTTTGTAATGATGTTGTGTGTGTGTTTTTGACAGCCTTGGGGAATGTGTGTACTAATTAGTCAAATGAACGTGAAGCTGTATAACGAACTGACAGTCGTCTGATTGTTCATCTGCTAATTGGTTAATGAGGGAGCAATTTAAGTGCCAGCGCTGCAGCCACTGAGCACGCTCCCTGTCTAAAACCTCAACCATCAGAGCCATGGAACGTGGGGAAACCAGTGTGTGTACTGGGAGTACATGAATGTAGTACTGTGCATGTATATCAGCTGTTTTCTTTCAAACATGTTTCAGATTTTTACAGCCAGAGCTAAATAACAAGACAGGACATTTTACATGGACAATGCTCATTATACACCTTAATATATATAACATCAATATACTGCAGTACTGGAAATATCATGAGTTGGTTAAATAGAAATGTAAAGTAATGGCCTCAAGCCAATAACCACCACATTAAAAATGTAAGTTTACCCAGATGCAGTCTGTGTTAAAAGGAATCATTTACTGGCTTTGTTTCTAGGAGCAACAGATATGAGATGGGCTCAGAGAGTCAAACTCACCAATCAGGAACTCCACTTGGAAGTCGTCGTCTGCGGTCAGGGGGAGGTTGAAGGTGATGTTCATCACAAACTCCTGACCACGCCGGACCACTAGGTTCTGGACATTATAGGCAGTGGTGTGGTGTGCGGGTTTGTTGACCTGCTGACACATGTCGACGCTCTGCACATACAGAGACACTGGGGGGGGACGACAACGAGAGAGGACGCCATGCGTTCACGTTATTATTAAGCAGTGCTGAGAGTGTTTGGCTTCTGCGCAGCCAGGTACAAGTCCTTACATTCCCCAGGTGCAAATCCTCTGGCTGAGGGCGCTGGTTCCTTGCCGAAGTCATCGTCATGTTTATCCACGAGATTGTGGTAGTCTTCCTGAAGATCAGTGAAACAATTACAAAGCAAGGAAGGAGCCAACGAGGACTCGGTGAAGGACTAAAAATCTAACACTGAACATATTTTCTACTCTTAGTGAACAGTTTGTGGCAATACCCTGATGCGGCCATGTCTGGTAGGTGGTTTGTTGGTTGGTTCAGACATGGTGGTCAAAGGTCACACTGAGGTCACTGGACAGATGCAAAAAATATTAAACCAAAAACAATCAAACATCAAAAACCTAACATCTGAACAAATAATGTGTAATGTAATAGCACAAGGACATAAATGTGAAATGCCAGACACTGACTGATTAACCGGTAAAGAAATAAAAGTACATTTTGTCCAAAATCAAAAATACTGTCTGCGGGAAAACGCTACCGATTTTTTTCTTTTAAAGAAATATTCAGTAATATAGCAGTCGGTCACTTTCAGGCATGAAGGTGTTGTGTATCCTTAGCAAACCTAGAAAAAAAAGCTCATTTGAAACAGTTTAAAGCTTATTGCTAATCCAGCTTCACAAAAAAATACGAGTTTCTGTTGTTAAAGTTCAGAATCACATGGTAGGTTTTTGGCTTTTTCTCTGAGCTTGATTTGTTGTGAATTATTAAACACCTTTAGGCCTAAAACATTTATTTAAATGAAACCAAACACTGACAAACAGCCAGACACCACTGCTGTTTTCATATGCCTCTAAATATCCAACAATGCATCGAGGCCTGATGTTTATGTAACTAGGTGTCAGATCAGTGCACGGTATTTCCCTCAGAAATGAAGCACCATAAAACTTTACTGTGAGTAACGTGGGCTGTTAGTTCAACCTCTGTCTGCTACAAAACATACGTGTTGTTTCCAGGTTTGTTCTAATCTATAAAACAACAATACTTTTCTCCAAGCTGGCAGTTCAAATAACCATCAGTGAAAACACAAACAAGTTAGTAAATGACAACATTAGAAAAAAGAAGCTGAGGATCCAGATGTGAAGCACCAGCTCTTAAGAAAGGGACCTTCTTCTTCTGTGGTATTTTATCATGGACAAAATGAGAAGAGAATCACACTGTAGGTAATTTTGAACAAAAGATAGAAAATGTTCATAAAAATGTGTCCTGAAAAATGTTGAACAAGTTTCTGACTCATCAACATATTAAAACAAACACAATATAACTTGTTGTATTAAACATGAGAAAACAAACGTGAGACACTTCATGATATTTAGCTGACTGATAATCAAAGTGTGTGTGTGTGTGTGTCTTACCGGTCGGATGACAAGGAGAAGTCTCCGAGCAGATGATCATCAGGCTGCCTCCGACGGCCATTTATATATACACAGCACTTCCTCTTTTTAGACACACACACACTTGTTGCAGCATTGATGAAATGGCACATTATGCAGAAAAATATCAGCATTAAACAAATATTTTAGTTGGGTTTGTAACTTTGGGAATGTTTATTTGATTTGATTTGATTTGATTTATTCTTTCAAACATGTAACAACAGTCAATATGTCAACACACATAATTCCACACATATCCACAAGTATATTATCAATTTGCTTATACCTAGTACATGCTTGAACGGAGTAGGAAGAAGTTAGACTTATCTAGTCCTACCCCCTAACAT